AGTTAATCATTAACTATTTGATCAATCTTGCATGTCTCTATTTGTTTTCCTGAGAAACCACTTTGAAGATATCAATACATAATACAACAACCATTGTTAATTTCCTACCACTTTGTCTGTAATTCAGTATTGCTTGTATTATTCTTATGCTATTTTGTAAGTGGATGTCTGTTTGTTAATATGTTTTCATTGTTTTGTTTTTAAAATAAGTTAAAAAAAAAAAAGACAGATCGACTAAACAAAAAATCCACAATGAAATATTAGAACTGAACCAAACTTTTGAAAAACTGGACTCAGTAGATATCAACAGTGTTCCATCCCACAACATCAGAATACACACTCTCAACTGCACACAGGATGTTCCCCAAAGTAGACCATACAGTAGCTCACAGAATATGCTTAAATAAATGGAAAGGAATTGAAATTACCCATGCATATTATCAGACTACAGTGCAATGAAATTGGAAATCAATGGCAAAAGAAACCACAAGAACTTCATAAACTATAGAAGTTAAATAGCACGCCCATGATCAACCACGGGGTCACAGATGAAACTGAAGAAGAAATTAGACAGTTTCTACAATTTAATGATAGTGACAATACAACATACCGGAACTAATGAGACACAATGAAAGCTGTTCTAAGAGGGAAATTTATAGCAGTGATTACCTATATCAGGAATACAGAGCAAGCAAAAATAAACAACATAATGGTGAACTTCAAACTTCTAGAAAAAGAAGAGCAGGTTAAGCCAAAAGCTCCTACAAGGGAGGCAATTATAAAGATCACAGCAGAAATTAATGCACTGGAGACTAAAAAACAATACAATGAATCAATGAGTTGAAGAGCTGGTTCTTCGAAAGATTAAATAAAACCAACAAACCCTTATCCACTCTTATCAAAACAGTAAAGAAAAAGTTCTAATCCATGCAATTAGAAATAAAAAGGGTGAAATCACAAGACCCTGCAAAAATCCAGAAGATCAACTATACCTCCTTTGAAAAGTTGTATTGTAATAAGATGGAAAATGTAGAAGAAACGGACAGATTCCTGGATACATATGACCTACCAAAGTGGAATCAAGGAGATATAAAAATCCTAAATAAAACAATATCAATCAATGAAATCAAAGATGTAATTACAAACCTACCAACAAATAAAAGCCCAGGCCCTAATGGATTCACTGCTGAATTCTACTAGAAATTCAGACAAAACCTACTACTTCTCAAAATCTATAATGAAACTAAAAGGGAAGCAACACTCCCAAATTCATTCCTTGAAGCATGCATTGCCCTGACACCAAGCCAGAGAAGGACCCAACTAAGAAAGAGAACAACAGGCTAATGTCCCTAATGAACATAGATGGAAAAATCCTCAATAAAATACTGGCAAACAGAATGCAGCAAGTCATCAAGAAGATTATACACCACAACCAAGTGGGACTCATACCAGGGATGCAGGGATGGTTCAACATATGTAAATCAATACATGTAATACACCATATTAACAAGCCAAGGACAAAATTTATACGATCATTTCAGATGCAGAAAAAACTCTTGACAAGTACAGCACTCATCAATGATAAAAACCCTACAGAAAATTGAATAGATAGTCTTTATCTCAATCTGAGAAAGGCCATCTATGACAAACCAACAACCAACATCATACTAAATGGACAAAAACTGAAAGCTTTCTCTGTAAAATCAGGAACAAGACAAGGGTGTCCACTGTCTCTACTCTTATTCAACATAGTCCTGGAAATGTTAGCCAGAGACAATTAGACAAGAGGAAGAAATAATGATAAGAAAGGAAGAAGTTAAATTACCACTATTTGCAGATGAAATGATACTCCACACAGAAAACCCCTAAAACTCCACTAAAAAACTGCTAGATTTAATAAGCAAAAGTCAGCACTCAAAAATCAATAGACTTCCTGTACACAAATAACAAACTGAGAGAGCAATTAGGGAAACAACACCTTTCAAAACAGCATACAAGAAGTGAAATATCTAGGAGTCAATCTAATGAAGTACATAGAAGATCTCTACATTGAAAACTACAGTATGCTAAAGAAGGAGATTGAAGAGGATATCAGAAAATGAAAATTATCCCTTGCTCTTAGATAGAAAGAATGAATATAGTAAAAATGGCCATACTTCTAAAACTGTTATATAGATTTGATGTAATTTCAATTAAAGTTCCAATAGCATACTTTAGAGAACTGGAGAAAACAATCCTAAAAATTCATTTGGAACCAGAAGAGACTGAGAATAGCAAAGGCAATTCTGGGCAAGGGCAAGGCAGAGGGCATCAAAATCCCTGACTTGAAATTATACTATAAAACTCCTGTGATAAAAACAGCATGATACTGGCAAACAACAACAACAACAACAAAAGACCTGAAGATCAGTGGAACAGATTAAAAGATGCAGAAACAACTCCAGACAGACTCAGCCACCTTATATTTGACAAAGGTGCCAAACACACTCACTGGAAAAAGATAGCCTCTTTAATAAACAGTGCTGGAAAAACTGGCTCTGCACATGCTGAAGATTAAATTGGACCCATATCTTTCACCATGCACTAAACTAAAATCAAAATGAACCAAAGACATGAATATTAAAACAGAAACATTAAACCTGCTGGAAGACAGAACAGGTAAAAGTCTTGAAGACTATGGTATAGTAGGCAGAAGTTGTATGACTAAAACCACGATTACACAGGAACTATCACAAAGAACCAACAAGTGGGATATCATTAAAAAGCTTTTGCACAGCAAGAGAAACCACCAAGAGAGTGAGGAGATAGCCCATAATATGAGGAAAAATGTTTGCCCAGGAGAGAACAATGGCTTAGAGGGACACAAGTGAGTTGCCTCTGTGACATCCATGTGGCGAAACCAAGCAGGCAGTAGGCATGAATCTGCACTTTGAGAATGAGATTAGAAAGGAAGCTAGAATGTGGATTTGGAAGTTATGGAAATACTAGGAACTACTAAAGCTGAACTACTGAAAAACTATCATGGTTTGTCTCTGACCACAATGATTTTCTTCAAAACCATGTGATCATTAGCCTCAGGGCTGGGGGTCTGCTCTCAGGCATCCATCCTCTTTCAGAGTGAGAAGTCCGTGCCTGAAGCATGAAGGGAGGTGGCTTCCTGCTATTGCACCTCACAGGTGCAGACTCAACACCTAGTATCAGGAAAGTACTGAAAGGCATCTACAGGCCTTATCCATTCTCTGTAATGATGAATGCTTGTGAACACTTTAAATTCAAGAACTATGCTGTCCTTCGCATATTAATGTTAATTAAACTGGTAGAATAGTCCCATAGGTTCAAATACCAAGCCCTTAACAAGTGTTTGGTAGTGAATTCTTTGTCCTTGAAGTAAGAGCTGTTTTCATCTAAGATGTGAGACAAATCATAGAGTTCTTTTATCTGTCTTTGCTGTGGCTCCTGAAATGTTCAAAGATAAATTAATTACTGACAATTATATCAATGGCAATCAGACACAAAGATCTATCCAGTGTGAGATACTGTAGCAAAATCTTTCTTCTCCCTTTCCTTTTAAAGAATTCTTTCTACATCTAAAAGAATGAAGGAAAACAAAAATAATTACTAATCAGCAATTTTATCTGCCTTATTTGCCTTCTAACATCTCATGCTAGTTTAGTCAACTGATTGGTAAATTAGAGGAGGAGAGGTAGAGATTAATGTAAAGGTACAATGAAAACAGGGTCAATAATCTAATCTTCTGTTACCACAAATTTGTTCATGTGTGTCACGGGCAATTATCCCATCACAAACCCTCCTGCTTCTCCGAACCCTCCGTTGTCCAGATGGTAGCATGTGAGTTACTTTAGAAATCTGAAGCTGTGTCGTCCTTAGAGGTCACTTTAACACATACACAGAACGCACTAATTACAAAGGTCAGTGTCTCACTTCACCCCTTTAGCTACCAACTCTAAGTACAGCTGAGCCGGGGAGCTCTGCAATGTGCAGGGTAGAAGAGGAAGACGCGGTCATCCCGCAGTGTCACATAAATCATGGCAGACTGTGGGGAGGGCTTGGAATCGATAGTACGTGATGTCACAATTAATGATCCAACATTGTGTTTATGGAAGCTGACAACTGCGCTCAGGAAAAAAGTAGGAATAACAAAGAAAATACGTCACTTGTTTTAGTTACTACATTATTTTATGTCAGTACCTGTCATTACATTCATCTCACACTTGGCATTTAATGTTTCAGAAGGTGAGTTACACAGTTAACCATCAGGATCAACCTGCACATAGGTTGAGCAAAGACTTCGTTCTAAGGATAACTATTTTTAAATTCCAAAATGAAACAAAAAGTTATCTAGGAAAACCATTAAAATATTTTTAAAATTCAAGCAATTTAAGTCATGTCTTCATTTTGTAATTTTAAAGAATTTTATTAAGACAACAGCTATTTCTCTATATACATTGACACAAACAGATATACAGATACACAAAGACACAGATACACACACACTCACCAGTTTAAAAGCTATGCTTGTAGTTATTTGGCTGATTTCTTGAAATAAACTATGAAAACCAAATCCCCAAAATTCTTAATAGGATTAAGCTTGAATTGTTGGGTTATTTTGAAGATAGTACATATAGCTAACTGTTTAAATCATTCCCTTCAAAAATTTGTTTACAAAATGCGTTTTCAATTGTAATCCTCTCCTACAAACCCCATACACACCTGCACACACACCTGCACACACACACACAAACACATCATCTTCCGTTAGAGTGAATAAAAAGCCAAGAACTCATTACCTCCTTGTTTCCAACCCTCTGCATGGCATCCCCCAAGTGGAAATAAAACCGCCCGTCATCAGTGCCCGGATCCCCAGATTCTATTCCTTCCTGTAGAAAGAGCAGTGTTAGGATCTGTGACAGAATCAAGTATCTGCCAATTTTCATTCCTTATGTAGCTTTTCTTACACATAGAATATTGTATACTATAGGAAAATCTAAGAACTAGAAAAACATTTAATATCAAAATCTGGCAGTGAGATTACTGGTCAACATTTATGATGTAGAAGCAAAAGGAAATCATAAAGCTAAATTTAACAGAACATTTATAATTAATTGTACAATTAGTGGAATAGCTATAAAATTAGCAGAATATTTTGTGTATCTCCAGTGTGGGAGCAATCATACTTCAGTATTCCAAATAATTTCTCTGGCTGGGTATGTCTCACATTTATTTTGCTCTCCAAATCTGACCATATGTCATGTAGAGTCTTTCTATTTCTGTACCCAAATGTTTAACTGCTCGTGTCTAAAGTAATGGCACCCTAGCTGCAAGTCATATTTCTTTACACTCAACAAACATGTCATGATTTTTTAATGAAATTTCTTATAAAACATAGAGGGATTGAAGACATTTGAAATCTTAAAAATTTTATTTTTCATTAAATTTACTTCATTTCTCCCCATTTCCTACATAAGGACTAAAATTGAAATTTATGTTTCAAAACAAAGAGAGGATGGAAGAATATTAGATCAAGAGAATTAACTTAGAAAACCAAAAGAACAACAAATATCAAAAATATTAAATGTCAAGGACTTGTTTTCTAAGAATCTTCCACTTTGAAGCCTCTTCATGAGAAGTCCCTTTCCCCTCCTAGGGAGGACTTTTATTTACATAATATTAGAAAGTAGTACATGACACGATGGACTGACTGATACTCCAACACCCTTGCTTGTTAACTAACCACAACTCCTATCTCTAAAGGTGAAAGAGTACAGTTGGGCCCTCCATTGTCAGAGGACAGGTAAGGAGAACACTTTAAATCACAGGAACACACGTGCCTGCAGGACCCTGGCAAGGACTATACGGATTTACAAAGGGCCCCAACAGCCAGGGCAAACTGGGGCACGTATCCATCTCAGAGTGCTGGGCCAGGGTCATGGGCCGGATAACACCTTTCAAAAGCAGCTAGAAATGGATATAATCACACAACATGTTCAGATTCTCAAGGCAAACAATTTATTTATTTTTTTTTCAATAGAACTGTACTGGCCAAATAAAACACACAAATATTTGTAATCAGTGGGTTACTATTTGGGCTTTCTAAAGTCATGTAAAGGAGAGAGATTACAGAAGTGGAATACACTGCGACTTCTAACCTGCTCAGTACGGTAGCTGTTAGGTACATGTCACTATTTCAGTCAAAATTAATTAAAATTAAGGCTTAAAATTCCTTTCCTCAGTCACAGTTCCACATTTTACATGCTCAGTGGTCATACGTGGCTACTTGCCCCTGCAGGAGAGAACATGGAGAAGTATTTCCATCACGGCAGAAAGTTCCGTTGGACAGTCTTAAGTGAGACCAAATGAGATTCAGTTTTCTAACAAGGACTCCATTACATATGTGAGAGAACAGAACAGTACCTTGTAATTTTAATCTTTTCAGGCACCAGATATGCTTTTGGGGGGTTTGACCTATTCAGGCTGCATCTGTCACCTCACTTTATTTAGGTTAGTATAAGCCCTTTTCTGAGAAGTTGCAATATATAATTAACTTGTAAAAGAAGCATTTTGAGGATTGTTCACTTTTTAAAATATTGTGTCAATAATTTTTATCTACTTTGGCCATCATTTGTAAAGTATAACAGGTTTAGTTTTATTAATTTTTTCATAAAGCCTTTTCCAAACAGCCTCTGCTCACATGGTTGGTATTTCTACGTATGACACTGTCAGTTCCGTGGAGGTCACACTGCCTGTGAATGTCATGGTCAGAGGGGGGTACATTCCGATGATGAAAAGACTCAGCCATGCATGCCAATCAATCTAGAAGGCACCATCAAGGAGGTCTGAGTGACTCGAAGGAACTAAAAGGTGAAAAGGAAGAGCAGCGACAATCACCTTTAAATAGGGGATGCTCTCAGCAATCTTGTTCTGTGCCTTCAGGATGAAGCCGTAATGTACTTTGGCGAAGCCATCATTAGGTGTCACATTCAGAACCTACACTCAAAGACAGCAAAGAGCTACTGTGATACATTATAAATTGTACACATGACTGTTAAAGCAAATTTCAATTAGTTTGCTGTACTCAGATCGGATTACAACGCTACAGCTTAAAACACCACAGTACTTAATCTCACTGCAATCAGGAAATTTGCAGGGCAAATTTTCCTCTCAAATCAGTATGCTTTCAAATATACACATTGGTTCTTCAAGAAAAAAAGAAATGTGTGAAAACGCAGGAACTGTTGAAGCACCACTTTAACAATGCAAATTAAAGTATCTGTCAGTTGATATGACTTCAGGGTTTTTTTTGTTTTGTTTTTTGTTTTTAGTGATTAGGGAAAACTTCTAAATCTGCTATGCTTTAAGACAATTCTGGATGGTTATTACATATTGTTTTGTATAATGCCATCTACACTGTCTTAATTAAGAGAAAATTTAGATTTGCATTCATAGTACTTTCTATCAGGGTCCACCCACTAAACAAATTTCTTTAGCACTCAAAGTGTTTTAAGAACTGAGAATGATGTTGGTGAGCAAATCCAGTATTCTGTGATAAAATCCAGGTAAATATTTCACATCATCCACATCACTGTTTATTATTATGTATTTATTATGATCTAAAGATAAATCACACAAAATGCCTCTAAATTAAATATTAGCAGTGAGAAATCAAAACACAACAATATTCAACTTGAAAAGCTGCTTAGACAAATGAATTTTTGGAACAAAAGAGGAAGATGAAGGTCTGAGTTGAGAGGACGTAGAGAAAAGATGTGTGTCTGGACTGTTCTACCACCAGTCGGAGTAGGAGAAGGAAAACCGTGGCCAGCACGGAGACTTACACAGCGGAGAAAAGCGCAGGGAGAGGGGACACCGTGGGCTTGACTTCACAGGGCCCGTGCTGTCATGTTTCAGCTGGAGTCAGAACCTGTACCTCATCCATTCAAACTCCAGCCAACAAGACCTTCAAAGTACATTCAGACCCACAGGCATGCCACTTCCTTCACCACTGCCACCCTGCCCAAGTCGAATCATCCCTCCCCACCTGTACAGGAGCCCTTAACTGCCAACGCTCTGCTCCTTGTTCTCCACGGGGGACCAGGAGGGAACTTGCGCAGACCTGGGTCAGATCCTATCCCTCCTTTGGTCCATTTCAGCCAGAGTGAAAGACCAAGCTCTGGGGACCACTTGCAAGGCCTCCCCTGGGCTGGGCTCCTCCACCTCTCTGGCTTCCTCCTTGCTGCTCATAGTCAAAGGCAGCCCTGCTGAGGACCTTCGTGCTCACAGTGCCCCTCTGGCTCACACACTCTTCCCTCAGACACGCAAATGGCTCACTCCTTATTGGAAGGAAGGAGCCCTTGCTCAGAGCTCACCGCCTCAGTGAAGCCTACCACTGACCACCACCCCACTACTAAAACAGACCCTGGCCCCAGGACTGCTCATTTTACCCTGGCTCGTTTTTCTTCACTGCACTCAGTCATCTGAACTATCATATCCTTTATTTCCTCTATTTTCTCTATAGAGGTTTTGTCTGTATGGCACATTGCTCACCTTCACAGAGGGTCCTCAAGAACTCTGTGCTAGGGGCTGGGGATTTAGCTCAGCGGCAAAGCGCCTGCCTGGCAAGCGCAAGGTCGTGAGTTCAGTTCCCGGCACCGGAGAAAAACCAAAAAGGAAAAAAAAGGAAAAAAAAAAAAAAGACTCTGTGCTAAATGCAGGGATGGGTCAGCTAAACGCATACTGGGCGTTTCTTCCTAGAGACCTCTGGAAGCAGAGGCTCGGCTACTTCTGCACCTTCCATAGCACTGTCTCCCCAAGGCAGATCCTGAGCAGGAGTTTAGTCATTACCTTTGGAACTGAACTGAAAAGGTATGGATCATGCATCTGCCACATCGCCATGAAGGGATTATTATAATTATTACAGCTACATTTCTGCCTGTAGTAGGCACACAGTCATCATCACAGATAATGGACAAAATTAATTATTGTGACAGTTCAGCTTAACTGTCAACTTGATTGGCTTAGGAATCATTTAGGGGATTAGTAAAGCACATATGTTAATGTTCATGGAAGTGTGGTCTGGGGCTCTGTGTCTGGTCCCTGGTCTGTTCCTCCCTGCTGCTATCACCCTGCTCTGCTTCCTGGCTGCCATGAAATAAGCAAGTCTGTAGACCATTCCGTTCTGCAACAATACTTCTACCTCAAAGTAAGCTGACCACAGACAGGAGCCTCTGAAATCAGGAGTCAAACAAACCTCTCCTCCTTCAAACTGTGTGTGTTGGGTAACTCGCCCCACGAATGGGTAAGCTGACTGATACATGAAATTGGCCCCAGAGAGGGAGGGCCATTCCTTTGGTCCTACTTTACCATGTGGTTCAGAAGCTTTTGGAAGTGCTTTGCAGGAGTTTAGAGATGTGAACCAGAGAAGCCCAAGCTGTGAGCACAACCTGACGGCTGGTTCTGGTCAGACCTCAGAGGATCAGAATGTTGACAGGAAAGCAAATGATAACGGCTGGGCTCACGTGGCTTCAGTTGGAAACAAGGACTTCATTGGCAATTGACTAGAAGCCACTAATTTTACACTTTGACAAAAAAAAAAAAAAGTGTCTACATTCTGACCATGTCTTGAGAATTTGGAAGAGACAGAGATTATGGGTGGTGGGCTGATTGACTTGTCAGAGGAAATTTCCAGGCATTTTAACATTTAGGATGTGGTGTGAGTACTGCTGGCTGCTTTTAGACAAATTTATAGTGAGAATTGGGTACAAAAACAGAAGAGAAAAATGTGAAAAATCTTAAATTTTGGCCCAAAGTAATCATATTTAAAGTTGGGGCCAAAGGAGGTATGGCTGCTGAGGAGATTACTGCGATTAAAGAAAAAAGTATTTCGTACTGGGACGAGAAGAAAGATGCCTTGAAGGTATCTCAGAAATCAGCAAGACTTGACCCATTACAGGCTTGAAGGTGTAAAAGTATAAACTTTCATTTCAGAAGAGTCCCTGAGCCTCTGTTTGAGAAGGGTCACCCACAGAATTGCTTCTCCAGGATTCATTTCACTGTCTATATTCCACCACCCAGGCACTCAGAGGTCACTGCCACCATGGTCCCCGGGGCCCTGACTACTACCACTGCTGGGAGCAGAACTTGACATTGTCCACATGATGTTGATTTTACCAGCATGCAGAATGGGATTAGAGAGGCTTCCACCAAGTTTTCAAAGGAAGGCCTAGGAAAGCAGGCAAGGAGCCCCTAAGAGGGCAATGAGTGAAGCTGTGAGAATGAAGGCAAGAGTACAGTAAAGACCTTAGGAAATTTGAGATTCTAGGAAGGTGGAATGTTTGCTGAGGAAAGCTGCAGGCTGTGAGTGGACCCAGACCAAGGAAGAGAGGCCATGCGGGCTGCAAATAGCAAGGTCACAGAGGTAGGGCCACCCATGTCCCCCGTCACTCATGTCTCACTACCGTGTGCCCCGGATGCTGGATATGAGGCTACAGGACATGATGTTTATCTCGCTGGGTTTCACTCTTACTTTCATACAAGTTTTTTCCATCCTCCGCTTTCCTCCCTTTTGGAATGGGAACGTGGACCCTGTGCTATTGTACCTTGGGATTATGTATCTTGTTTTTGACTTTTATAGAACTTCACAGCTAAAAGTTTGTCTTCAGTCTCAGAAGAGGTTTTTTTCAGTTTTAACTTTTTATCAGCACATGTCTCCAATAGGAGTCTGTGCCCTGTGAGGAGCTGGCACATTCTGGTTGTGACATATTCTGGTTCTTTTTCTTAACTCCTTCTCCTTCCCCATCCTTTCCTGTCATCTCTTAATCTCCTCCCCACATGAGAAAGATCTACCACCCTCCTTATTATCCACCCTTTGTTTGGGTCTTTATATTTTGGATTTCTCAGATAAAAGAAACTGTTACATTCAAGTGTATGTGTCTCGTTTATTTCACTTAGACTTTTGAAAACTGCTGGAACTGTTGAGACTTGGGAAAGGGATTATTGAGTTTTCATTTCTGTGTAAGATTGTTGTATCATGGTAAGTAAAAGGGCTAACTTATTATTGTGATTACTGGAGTATAGTTTAAGGAGATGCCCCTGTATGTCATGTTGTTAGAGGACAGGATGAGATGGTTAAGCTTAACTGTCAAGTTGATTGGCTTGGGGGCAACCTCTTTGGAAAGCACACTTTGAGTGTGTTTGTGTGGGTTATGGAGCACGGCCTGGGGTACTATATCAGTATGTAGCCCCTTCCTCTCTGGCACTGTTCTCCTGCTCCATCTCTCAGCACACCTTTGCTCTGCTATGGCCTTCTGCCATGTTTCTGCCTTGGAGCCGGCCAACCATGGACTGAATACTTTAAAACCATGAACCAAGTAAAACTCTTTTCCTTTAACTTATGGGTACTGGGTGCTGCGTCAGCAATGGGAAAACTAATATGATAGCTACAGTAGCCATTTCTGTCACAAGAGTGACTACTGCGGTGTCACAATGCTTCTCTTCAAGTAACTCTTATCTTAAGTGCTAATGGATCTGATGCTTCACTGTAATATGCCACATACATGAGCCTCAGTACTATCTTTGATTTTGAGGCACTGACGTTGGGTCTCAGAATGTATCCACCACAGTTAAAGGAGGATTATTGTAATCATATTATCAGAATATTACTTTTTAATGAACATGATTTTTTCATCAGTTAAAATTTGAAACAATTTAAATATTTCATTTTATTTTTAAAGCTTATTTGGGTACATATGCTTTTTATAAAGTACATGCTATATTAGGGCATGTACCTATATAGGAAATATATAAATCCATAAGCAAACGTGCCTAAGGTGTTTGCTTGAACGCTCTTGCCTGGGAGAGTAAACAAACACGTTTAGAGATGACTGCTCCGAGTGACGGAAACCAGGGAGATGCTTAGATTCTGCTTTGAGTTGATGAAGGCCAGAAAAGAGCAAAGCTGAGCAGAGTAGACCCATGTTAGTCCCAGCAAG